AATTGAATTGAATTGAAATTAAATCTGGTAAGAGAACATGCTATAAAACAGGATCAGATGATTCTGTGTGGTTGTCATTGTTTTATCAACTTCAAAGATAGAAAGATATACTTTAAGAGGAACTGATCTGCTAAAAATATTACAACATAATCTAACCTATATAAAATAGTAATATCAGAAATTAGAACAAACACTGTTTTAAGATCAACTATCCACAGTTCTGTTGTTGGTTGTGTAACTTATAATCAACTGGTATGTTTATCTGTGTTTCTGGTCCTTTTAGTGGAATTGGCATACAGTCAAATAAAAGGACGAACAGCAAGTCTTCCTGTACAACAGCCCACTGTTTAGGCTTTGGAAAGGTATGTCACTTCATACAGTGTGCTAATAATATAACACATCTCCTGCTGCCTTCATGAAACACACATACAGCACATCCTCCTCTATCATACTGTGAAACTAAAGGCCTAAGTGTTTTTGTGTATGTTTGTCTAGGTGTGTGTGAGCAAGCCATGCCGGGCGTTGAATGTGCCAGCATCCATTCCTCTGATCAGAGAGAGTGAGCTGACCTGGAGTGATGATGACCCTCTGCTATCCTTCACCTGTGGCTCTTTGACCTCCATAACCAAGTAAGACTATTACTAAATCCCTCAGAACCATGGCTAGAACTACAACAGAATCGCAGAATTCCAAGTATGTTGACACATAAAAGTAATTTGACTGGTGGCTCTCATAGTGGAAATAACATTTTACTGTTTAAATCATCTCTCATAATAAAACATACTTGTGCATGCATTATTCTGTTGTAGTTAAAGCATGAAAAAAGATACATTTGATGGATAAATCAATTTTATAAATAAATACTGAATGAGGTAACACAATGGTGATTGAGCCTACGACCCACTGATAAAAGCATTGTATTATTTCTATATTTACAGTATAATGAACTGGGTGTCATTGTTGGAAAACATGCTGAAATAGTTTACTGCTAATGCAAACTGTACAATTCCTACTGCTGAGGCTTCACATTAAAAGCATTTAATTGGCCAAGACATGACTTTTTATTATGGAGTACTCACAGGAAATGCAATGTGTTTGTCAGTGAGCTTGACACTGACCACTATAATTCATCAGAAATGCACCATTGTCAGTAGATCAGTTTGAAACATTGCAGAGAGTAATGGAACAAGAAAGAGCAGTCACAGTGAGTTGTTAGATAAAGAGCTACAAAGCCATTAGTAGGGCTACTAATAGATGATGTAATGACTAGAAAAAGATACTTTTAATATACAGTTTTATATCACAGCAAACCTCTCATTCCACAGGAAACACTGATCAGATTATCACAAGCAGTAGATGTCAGTCTAAGAACTGTTTTCAACCATGGGTGATATTTTATTCTTGTTTTGTAGTTTGCATAGCTGTTAACACACTTCTTCTGGTGCTATGCCAAAATGATGCTAGGCTAAGCAGCCACTATTCTGTAACAATCACACAACTCTTCTTTTAAAAAAATGATTGAAAAAGTGAATCTGAAGTTATTAAGAGCCTCTCTATTCACTGATTTCCTATACTCCACAGAAAGTCATACTGTGACTATGACTGTAGGATAAATGATTGACATTTACTCCCTAACCCTAAAGAGCTGTATGGCATCGGGTATGAAACAATATGAGCAGGAATTAGACAGGAGTATTTAACGGAATGTTTTTTTTTAACCCAGAGATATTGTCTTACACTGATCACCAAATAGTTTAGCATTGTGTTTCAGTTATAGGTGGAGGGGCTCCAGGGTCGCAGTAAAAACAATGAGGGAGTGTCAGACAGCCTATTTGGACCTGCTCCTCATAGAACAAGACTACTGCAGGTGAGAGAACACAGGCTGTGTGTGGGGAAGTAATATTTTGGTTATGGGTTTGTAAACTTGTAGATTTGTCTGTATGATTATTGCAAAAGGAACAATTTTTTTTAATGACTTTTTACTACAGGTCTATATCATTTTTCTAGATATTTTTTGTTTTTTACGATAAGCATAATGGTGACCTTTTAAATTCTACTTGTATCGTGCCAAATCATAACAGAAGTTATCTTAGGACACAGGTCTAGACCATAGCCCTAAAAGAACTACAACCGGAATTTCATTATACCCATCTTAACGTAAAATGACAATTAAATAACCTTGTATCTGTTTTTATTAAAAAAAGTTGAGATTGTAATTGCCACCCTACCAACGCCAACTCAAGATCGACCTGTTGATACAGGAAATTGTATTTATAGTGTATTTCAATCTGGAATAAATAATATTTTTCAATACATTGTTTTTAGACCAATCTGTATTAAAGGTAACAATAAATTATATGTATTTGCACTGAACCATTTGGCACAGTATTTCTAATGATTTAATTTACCTACAAACCGAATAGTGTGCACTGTCTCCCCTAGAATTTATGAGTTCACACACCGAGTGTAGTAGTAGTGAGTGTAGTGAATGCTTAATGTCCCCTGTGGTTGCCTATGAATCCTTTGGGGTGCGTGTTGTGTGCTGTGTGGTGTTGTGTTGTGGTTGGTGTGTGTGTGTGTGTGCTGTAAATAGCAAGCTGTCCCATCCACAGCTGCTGCAGCTAATGGCTGTGAGTCTGTCCGATGACCTCCGGAGGACCAGCCTGGTGTTTGAGCCGGTCAATGTCGGCACGCTGCACAATTTGCTGTACAACAGGGTAACAAAGACACACCTAGAGGATTTAATTGTCCATTCAGACACATGCATAAGATTTATGTTGGCTTTAATGTTGTCAGTTTAGAGATAGACAGGAAATATAGGAGACAGAGTGGGATGTGACATTCAATCAAAGACCCCGGCTGGAATGAAAGCAAGTATATTGTGGTTATGCACCTTTGGTATGATATGCAGTTAGTCAGTAATTAGTTCCCTGATGATTAATTCTATTTACTTTACTAACCCCTGATATTTGAGGTTTTGAGTGAAATGTCCCAGAAACTATTGGATGGATTGCCATGACATTTGGTGCAGACATTCATGTCCCCCTCAGGATGAACTGAAATAACTCTGGTGATCCACCATGAACGTCAAGTCAAATGTGTCCAATACTTTGGTTTATGGCCCCATCAACCTGTACATTGTGTTTAATGCTAATTAGTGTTAAGTGTTAGCATGCTAAACTAATACTGCAAACTGATAAACTTTATACCTGTCACTGTGAGCTCTTTCCTCCTGTCGTGACAAACAACCTGAACAGTAAACATGCCTTTTTGTTTAAACAGCTTGCAACAAAAACTAAAAAACCTCCGCCAAGGTGTTTGTTTGTCCAGTGATGTTTGAGGTTGCTGTTATGTTTTGTTGTATGTTAAGTCACAGCACACCATTCACTTCAATTACGCTGGGTTCACGGATGCATAACACATTCAGTTAATTTTGCTATAGGCACTGCGGTAACAATGTTAACAAAAGCCAAAAAGTATTTGTGTGGATCAGGGTTTGGATCCACTCTAAAATGTAATGCGTTTTTTCTTGGAAATTGGGCCAATATTTTTTCCGTAATCCTCCTGATGAACAAAAAACAAGCCAACAAACAAATGGCACTGAAAACATAACCTTCTTGGCGAAGGTAGCAAGGGTCACAGACATTGTTTATTTTTAAAGGTCCAGTGTTGGGCTTACCGTTGGAAGTGGGAATGAGAGGCAGACCGTTTCAAAAGTGAAGATTTCTCACTAAAATAAGTGCTGGTGGGTGCATCAAATATATGCCATAACAATGTTAATGAACTGTGTGTGTCTGTATTGTAAGAGTTGTTTCAATCGTTACCACAAACAGTGAAGGGCAGAAGGTTTGATCGCACATTTGATCATCTTAGATAACAAATACTTACTAAATGGCTACTACTAATTAAACTTATTAATACATTTGTAAAGTGCTCCCACCATGGTTTGTATATTCCAGCTGTTCACACCTCTTTTATGTGTCACAGGTTCCAGAAACATAGAGAAAACTTGCGCATATAGGCTGAGTCCTTACTGCAGTGGCCCGGCTTCAATTCCAACCTGTGGCCCTTTGTCTTCTCTCTCTCCCCCATTTCCTGTCTCACCATAGCTCTATTTAAAAAAGTGAGCGCCCGGTTAGCTCACTTGGTAGAGCTGGCGTCCCATGTTGCTGCAGCTGAGTCCTTGCTGCAGCAGCCCAGGGTTCGAATCCTGCGGCTCTTTGCTGCGTGTCATCCCCTCTCTCTCTGCCTTTCCTGTCTGTCTTCAGCTGTCACTATCAATAAAAAGGCAAAAAAAGCCCCAAAAAATAATTAAAAGAAACTAGTTGAAACTTGTATTTCTGCCCTTTCAAACTGCTAACAGTGCTGTAGTGTGTGTGTCTACTTCCTCTCCCTGCAGCGTGCAGAGTTCCCAGTGCTGCAGGAGAGGTGGCTGCTGCCACTGATGTTGCAGGTTTGTGAAGGTCTGCAGTACATCCACAGAGGAGGTCTGGTGATGAGGTCCCTGTCTTCACACAGTGTGGTTCTCACAAAGCGTTCAGTAGCCAAAATAACCGGTTTTGGCTTCATGGTCCCCAGGTAGGCCCAGTACTACACCAGGCTCAATGCATTCTTGGTGGAGGAGGTACAAATTAAACTTCATGCATGAGGAAACGTGTTTTAAATGAATATCTAAAAATAGGGTTTTCAATAGCCTGATTCAAACTTAATTTTCACTACCACTTCAAAATTAAGTCTGATTAAGCTTTTTTTTCACTAGTGCATTACATGTTCAGTCATTGATGTCATTTGCAATTGTCAGATACTGCATTTGCTCAAAGGTATCCTGTGGTGTTTTACACTTTGTTTTATTCAGTAAAATGCATGATGTCTATCCTTGAGGCCTAGCAAACTCGTAAAATAAGATATTTTGACTATTTTGACTAGTGGTCAGTAATTTAAGCAGGTTTCCTCAGAACTGTGGTATGCGTAGCATACAACAATGTAGTACGTGTTGTTTATTCAAAACCAATTTAGAAAAGTACCAGAGAGCTCAACACCGCTCAATCAGAATAAAGTTGGTTCCGATTCAAAGGCAATTTTGTCCAAATATAAACAAATAATAGAGACAGCTCTTAATGCATAGTTTCATCAAATTAGTCAAATGATTTCCCCATATTTGCAGTCAGGACATTGTATGGTTACTGTACACAGAGAAGTAGACCTAGTCTTCACAATAAATACATCAGAAACAGGTTTTAAAACATTGTAAAAAGACTACCTAAGTGTGTTGAGTGACATCATGATTAGTTCATAACTCATACTCTAAGCAAGAGTAAGTCATTTCTGCACCACCTGTAGGTATATTACATTATTACATATTTTTATGTCAGTGCCAAATGGTCCAGAGGAGGTTTGTTTTCTCTGCTAAACTACCACCAAAATATCATCTGTTATCAGAGCTACAGTAAATCTTAAACAAAAATTGAACCTACAGCAAAGATGAAAGAACACATAAATGTGCCATTTGTCCTTTTGTTAAATTTGTTTTGCCTTGTTGTTATTGGTCTGCAGTAGGCTTGCCGCAGTAATCATGGCTACCCAACACCAATTATATTACTTGCTCACCACCCTCACTGTGCTTTTATCAATATAGTAGGAAAACAGACACTAATGTGAAAGTGTTTTGATTTGGGGTCTAAAGCAAAGTCTAAAGTGTGTGTTTCAGTGAGCCCCGCCCTCGCTTATTGATGTTGATGACTGGATATTGAGTGATATCGACAAATATCTTTTCTTGTAAAATGCCAGCGTAAACTGTAGCACCAGTGTTGTCAGTCTGCAGTGAATGCAACGTACTGTAAATGGAATTATTATTTGTTATGGAGATGAAACTGAATGGCATTGTCAAATAGTCAGATGAAGTATGAAGAGGGTCTTCAATTCTGGTTAATATACTGTGTTTCACCACACTTCTGGTCATAATCATGTTCCGTGTATTTGTGTGTATGTCTAGGAGTCAAAGTGTCAAACCCCCGGTGCACATAGTCCTCTCCCCAAGCCTTTACAGATGGGCTGCTCCAGAGGTCATTAAACAGCGAACCTGCACAAAGGAGGCGGACATCTACAGTCTGTGTGCTCTGATCCAGGAACTCTACACAGGTAGTTCTCACATCCTGGCTTCTCAAGGTATCATGGTTCATTGATTTTTATTTTACAACACAGGGTTGTACTATTAAATGTCAGTTGAAGCCCGTTCGTGTTACACACACATAGACCATGCCAATAGGTCCTCCTAAATGTTACACACTGGACCTGTTAAACAGAACAGAACTGAGCATTTGAACCAGAAAAGAAAGTAAATTAATATATTTGCATCATATTTCATAGTTTTTGTACATATTATCCTATCTTTTGTTGTGTATATATTGTATTTTAGAGGAAAGTGCTGGAGGGGCCAACAAAGCATTTCACCGCACAGTGTAGAGACATGTTGACTTCTAAATCCAACGTTTCATACATTGTTTCAGACAATGAACCATGGGGCACAATGGACCTGGACGGGATCAAACAGGCGATGGATGCAGGCCAGGTGCTGGCAGTAGATGGCAGAATTCCACAACCTTACTATGATGTGGTTGTGAAAGGCCTGCAGCAGCAGCCACAGGACCGCACATACAGCCTGCAGAGCCTGTGTTACACACTACAACAGGACATCAAGGTGTGCCTCACTCTATATGCTTCAGTCTCTGCAAGCTCAGGCTTGTGTGTGTGTTTGTCTGTCTGTAACTGAAAGTGTATTTACAGTTAAAAGGGCAAGTTCACAATTATATGCTTCCGTGCTCCAAGACATTATGTTTTCGGGTTATCCGTCGGTGCGAATGTATGTATGTCCGTCTGTCCCATTCTTGTGAGTGAACTCAGGAACACTGTGAGGGAATTTCTTCAAATTTGGCACAAACTTCCACTTAAACTAAAGGATGGACTGAATTTGGTGGTCAAAGGTAGCGTTCGGAGTAACACATTATAAAATGACGTGTTACTGTAGTTCTGCTAGATATTTCTAGCAATATTTTGTCAATAATATTCTTGTAATATTTCTTTACACACTGTATCAAACATTAAAAATAATCATTTCTAGAATGCACATGGGATTCGAGGCCTGCAACAGATAAGAAAGTGGATATTTGGCACGACACAGAACATTTCACATCCTGCACTATGATCCAGAGAACTTTCTGAAAATTAGCCTTTAGGTGACACTTTTTTTTTTTTTTGCAGAGGTTCTCTCTGGAGAAACAGCTGAGTGGTGACCTTTGTGCTTACCCAGAACAAGATCTGGAGCCTGGGGTCCAGTCTACAACACAGCATACGACTGTGGGGGAACCAATACAGAATGGTACTGAACACAACACACACACATATAGGGTTCCTATGTGTACTGAAAAGCTAACAATGAATGCCTTGTGAAACTACTCAACTTACGATTTAGAAATGTGTGAAAGTGTAATGACTGTGTATTCTTCTTTAAAAAAAATCTCTTTCAGTTGGTAGAACTGTCATGTCAGTCCTAATCAAGACAGACACAGTAGAGGAAAGACAGGTCCACCTGGACAAACAGCTGGACAAACAGCTGTACAAAGGAACAAAGGCAAAGCAGAGGAGACAAAGATATAAATGTGTGGAGGGAGAATCCATGTTCCATCACATGCACCCTTACTCAGACATGCTTCCTCTGCTTGGTGAGTTTGACTCAGAGAGTGTTGAGGAAGAACCTGATCCTGAGGCAGACTTAGACTTAGACTTAGACTTAGAGCAGCTGGATGGTCTGAAGCTGTCCAAAGTGACAATGGATGAGCAGATCAGCACCATTGCAGTCAACCTCAAAGTGTCCCAGGAGTTGTTGCAGCAGGCCAGAAGGAGCCTGGACACAGTGGAGGATGAACTGGACTCAGTGACCGGGCTCAGAGATGCTTCTCCCTCTATCCACACACTCTCTCATGCCTCCTCCATCTCTTCTTTCTCCATGTCCTCCACAAATCTTTCTGGAGCAAGTACTGCTGTTGGACCACATTCAAAGTGGTACAGTCTCTTACCGCACAGGGGGGATCATAGGGCAAAGAACCTGGAGGCACAGCTCCAGAGTGGAGATTGGGAACTGCTGAGCCAAGAAGAGCTGTCTTTATGGCGGAGTCATTATGCAGCTGAGCAGGGCTGGCTGCTGCCTGTGCTTTCTTCAGGTTGCTACATGACAGAGAGCCGTTCATTGGGAGCTGATCACAGCACAGCGGAGCTGAGCCAGTACAGATCAGCTCTGGACGACAGCCTTCTCAACATCCTCTCTAGGAAGAAGCAGCAGGTACATGGGTTTACTTTCTCATCATAATGATGTTATATCATTCGATATATTCAAGAACACAGGCTTTAGGCTTTAGGCTTTAGGTGGTTCCCAACCCTTGTCTATAATTGTGTGAAGTGACACCCCTGCATAAGTGACTTATTTTATGGAATTTATGTAAAACAAGCTATTTGGATGAATTTTAAGCAGATAATTTCCTGTGAATATTGCATCAAAGATGAGTTAAGATATTTTAAGAACTTTTTATACAATTCTTTGTCTGTATTATGTTTTATTGTTGTTGTTTTCAATTGTTACAATCATACATACTAAAAAGGCTTCTTTTTGGACAAATTCAGTGTTTTCTTCTCATTGTTTGTTATAATGCAGGATGAGGCTGTTTATTAGAGGAGAGTAATATCTCTATTTGATGGAATTATGAAGCCATTAAAACAAAATGTTGATTTGAATACAAAAAAGCCCAATGCTTGTACTGTAAACATGTGATATATCTCCTCCAGACATCCAGTTCACAAGAAGAGGCAGACATTACAGTAGAGGTGTGCAGGCCAGCAGCTAGTGGGAGTCTGGATAGTCATAACACCAGTAAGTCATCGATATTTCCTGTCACCATCGCAGTGTGAAATATGAGGAGAATGTGGTGACATTTTCTCTGTTGGTGAAACACAGTTTCTCTGTTTTTTTCTTCCCAGACTATGAGAGTTTTCCAAACAACTGTGAAAAAATAAACACTGGTCCTAGTGTCCGTAGAACACAGGCACAGTATACATCCAACACTATCATGTAAGTACACTGACATGAACCTACAGTATGTGCTTCATGTGATACAGTGTATTGAGACACTGGTGAAAATAACTAAAATCATCCGGACATATTTTATTTAATGCGATACAGTCTCCTGGATGTAACCAGGTCTCAGTAAGCATAAAAAAATCTGAATGAATTTAAAAACCCAAACGCTACTGAGTTAGACATGGAACAGGACTTCAGTGAACACAGAGAAACTTTCCACTTTCAGCAGATGAATGTGAAAACAT